CAACTAAACATTTCCAGAGGGGAAGTGTATTAATACTCCTCAAGCTCATGGGGTTTCCTCAAAGTTTTAGTGGTTTCTGACCCATTCTCAAATGGGGCTTCCCAATACTAGAAACAACTGAAAGAAACACCTCAGTGGAACCACCTCCTGCTGCTAGAAGAGCTGGGTCAAAAGGCCTTAAACTGAAATCCAGATGAATCTTTTCTAATTACTCTTCAAAAAGAGTGGTTCCGACTCATATTCCTGGCTCAGGGGTATGGGATGAACCTTCTGCCCCACACCTTGTCTTTACAAAGCTTGTCTCTAGTCCACTCCGCTCAGAGAAAAGCCAGAGCCTTGTCCATTAACATCTGATATGAACTAACAATAGGTTAACGGATGAAAACAGACAGAGTAACTAATAGTAGCAAGCTACTAATCTAGTAGTGAGGAAGAGATGATTAAATGGGAAGTGTGATACTACAAACAGTACCAACAACACCTATGACAAAGCCCCCCAGAAGACTGTACCCCTCAACAGAGAGTAGCATCTCACTTTGATGTTGTCCAGAACCCTTTTAAACTCCAGAGGCTCATCTTTGCCCTCCATGGCGGCAGGATCTAAGCCATCTCCTCCGTAGATGAACTGGATGATGTCACCAGTGGAGCTCCGCACTGTCAGGTCATACTGTGAGCAGAGGTCTTCCAGGGATTTGACCAGCCTTCTCTACAGGAAAGGAAGGAAGCTCAGCTTCGGGGTCGGGGGAAGGTGGGTGAAGGGGTTGGGAGGGCAGGGGAGGGGAGGATGGGGGACGATGATGACAACTCCTTCATAGCGCATAATCAGACTTGCTATTCAAAATTTTAAGGTTATAGGTCAATTTGTTTGCTTGCTTGTGTGTGTTAGGTAAGCCTTCTGTCAATAAAATACATCCCCAGACCTAGTTTACAGGTACTTTAATTACATCAACAGCAACTTATTAGACATCTCTTAAGGAGTTCCTCTCTTACCTGACAACAGCAGGGCCATAAATGCCTCACTAACCTGGGCAGTGGGAGGCAGCTTAAGCTACAACCTCCAGTCTTACCCGAGTCAAGTCTCCCTGCATCAGAAACTTCACCAGCCCCAAGAACTCTGCACACCTCTTTCCAGGGATGCTTAGCCTTGCCACTCAGCTCTCTTGAGTACAAACCA